CTAGCTAATTTTGACTTAAGAACAAATTGACAAATTTTATTCAATTCTGCGTATATTTTGTTAATTTTTTTGTTATTACTATTTTGACCTATGAGGACTGCAAAATAAGCAAACCAATCTGATATACTGTTAACTAGATTTTGAACCCGCACGGATGTGCGGGTAATTTTTTATTTTATAAAAATATAACAAAATCTTTCAAATATATGATTTAAATTTTATTGTTATATATTCTATAACTATATAATCTTATCATTTTAATTATTTTTATATAATATATTGTTGTAATTTTTTTAAAAAAATCATATATATATATATATATATTAGATAATGTATTTGTTGTGAGTTACAAAAATATATGTTAACATTTTTTGTATAAAAATATTACATGTTTTAAAAAAATTAATATGTTTTAACAGTGAATAAAAGAAATTTTTAAAATAAAATATTTTTTATTACCAATTTAATATACTTTTAGATTCATTTCACATAGCATTTTATTTTAATATACTAGATTTTGACCCGCACAACCGTGCGGGTATTTTAATACGAAAATATTTGAAATTATATAATAAAATTTATCAATAAATAAGTATAGTTTGATTATTTATGCTATCCAATTTATAATCATTTTTTGTGACTTATAATATTATTAATATAAAATTTATAAATTTTTATTTTTGTAATAATTTAATTATTATGTAAGATTACTAATTTATATATTTTGTTTTATTTCTAAATTTGAAATCTATGTAAAAATTAATTAATTTGGACCTACATAATACATAAACAAAATTTTGGGATATTGTTAAAAGTATTTTACATAATTTCAATTTTTTGTTTATAAATTAAAAATGAATTAAAATTTTAATTATATTTTATGATAATTAAAATTTTAATCAAATAATTTTTGAAACCATATCTTGAAAAAGATTCTAAAAGATTTTGTTAGAATTTTCTTAAAACTATTTATTTGTATTTCAAACAAAAAACTAAAGATATGAAAAGATATTATAATGTTATGTAAAATTTTATAAAACTCTAAAGATGGTCTAAACTAAAATATCACACATTAAGTGAGTCATGACTTCTCTTTTAATATAATAGATAGAATATCATTAAATTATAAAATATACCAATTTTTTTATTTTTAATTAACATTAATATATATATATATATTAATCACGAAATTAAATAATATATATTTTATAAAAATATTTAAAATTCTTGGTAAGATCATGTTAGATATTTTCTCAACAGATTTAGTTATAAATAAAATTAAAATATAAATTTATATTCAAATTGATTTACTACTAATATCTTATCTTCTATATTAAATAAAAATAAAATATTTTTCCAGTAATATATATTTGATTGATTAATATAAATAATCAAATATGTTCTATTAATGAAATGGTCCAAAATGACTTTTGTGTAGTAGATATAAATGGTACTTCTTTTTTAATATAGAAGATGAATCTTGAATGGTTTATCAAAATAAGTATCTGAGATTTAATTATTTTTGAATTTTTGTTCTTAAAACATTACTAGATTTGAGCGTGGGAATTTATTTTATTATAAATCTTTTTTTAAGATTTATAAGATAACTTTTGATAAATACTAGCGATGAAATTCCAATTTTTCAATAAGGGGAGATTTAGTGGAATTTATACAAATGATAAGTCAAATAACCTTGGTTTTATAAAAACTTTATAAATACCAAATGCAATAAGGGGAGATTTGATAAAATACTGGAATTTTCTCAAATCACAAGTTCAATAAGCCAGTGTAAGTGTTTTGAATTTTAAAATGACCAATTACAAGATTTAATTTTTGGTTAGAAGTTGATATTTTATGTTTTGTTGTGAAATATGTGTGTATAGTGTTTATAAAGTAAGATGGACTAAAGATATTTTATATATTAGATAAAACATGCTTGTAAGTAAGAGTAATAATAATTTTATAAATACAATACTATATAATTTTGGAAATGTCTGTAGCTATAAGAAGATTTTGCTATTGGTGCCAANTTTTTGGTTAGAAGTTGATATTTTATGTTTTGTTGTGAAATATGTGTGTATAGTGTTTATAAAGTAAGATGGACTAAAGATATTTTATATATTAGATAAAACATGCTTGTAAGTAAGAGTAATAATAATTTTATAAATACAATACTATATAATTTTGGAAATGTCTGTAGCTATAAGAAGATTTTGCTATTGGTGCCAAATATTTCAAACAATGAATGAATAGTTTTTTGTTGAAAAAATATGCAAATATATAAGAAGCAAATGAATAAAAAATTAGACGTAAACTAGGGTTAAGCCCGCCATATGGGCTGGTGAGCAAATTAAAAATCACATAAAATATATTTAAAATTAATCATATTTAACAAATTTATTGGTGACTGAAAATAATTAATTTTCAATATTTGTTTGTGTTGTTCTTGTTAGAAAGCACATGCTTTAACTATTAGTATTGTATCCCTAAATATGCATGGACATTTTTATCCCAAACTGAAATCATGATCTTAACATAAACCGAAATCGCATCCAAACCGTTATACAAAAATATCCGAACGGAATTTAAGAACTTGATACTTTCGGATTTGAGTACAATTCGAACCAAACCGGAATCCGAACATATTCGAATTAGTAAAATATGTTAATGTTCTTATATATACTTATTAAAGTAATTATATATTTTAAAGTATTTTTTGAAAACTATAGTTAGTTTTATTTGTTATTTTGAAACCTTTTTAGTTGGTTTAGTTAGTTTAACTAGTTCTAGTTATATTTTTGAATAATTGTATATTTTGAGTATGTTATTATTAATTTTTAAGTTTATTTTTTTTTGTACAATTTAAAACATTGGTTATAATCTGATCTGAACCGAAACTAAAAGGAGCTAAACCNTTTGAAAACTATAGTTAGTTTTATTTGTTATTTTGAAACCTTTTTAGTTGGTTTAGTTAGTTTAACTAGTTCTAGTTATATTTTTGAATAATTGTATATTTTGAGTATGTTATTATTAATTTTTAAGTTTATTTTTTTTTGTACAATTTAAAACATTGGTTATAATCTGATCTGAACCGAAACTAAAAGGAGCTAAACCGAATCCAACCCCAAAAACAGTAAAATATGAATGGAACTTATGATCATAGTACCGAAAATCTGAAAATTCAAATTAACCGAACCAAATATGACGGATTTGAACGGTCAGGCCTATCCATAAACATAAACTTGTAAGAGCAACCTCAACAGGATCGAATTCCAATTTTGAAATTCAAACCTATATAAAAGTGTTACTCCAATTTTTATTCTATTATACAATTAAATTTTAACATTAAAAAGACATAACCCTCTGATAAATAGACATTGGGATCCAGAGTATCATGGCAGTATCTAATTTGATATACTATGTGTATCATGGCAGTATCTAATTTGATATACTATGTATGTTTGGTAGTTTCTATCTCTTTCTTACTTCTATAATTATGTTTATTTTTCTTAAATACTCTGATTTGATATCCTATTTCTGTCTGGCAGTCCTCTCATTTTCTTTCTCTTGTGAAGACATGGTAGCTGGCGAAACGGTCACCAGAGGCGTAACTTGCTTTCCTCCTCCTCGTTTTCTATTTGCTCTCTCCTTCCTTGCTTAATCCTAGGTTCGGATCTCTGAGTTGTGAGACCACTTCCAATGTTTCGTCGAGGATGATGTAGCTCAAATCCGTCTTCGTGTGGAGAAACAGCGAGACCTAAGGAGGACAATGGAGGTGAGGGTCGGCTTTTAGAATCAAGGGTTTTGTCAGATCTGATTTTATCCTTTTGAGATCTACGGCAGAGCCCTTTTAACGATGACAAGTGACAATGACTAGACGTCTCCTCGACCCCGGATCTTCCTGTCCATGTGACTGTGAGACGGCTGGAGGAGTGGCACAATGGATGGAAAGAAGCTGTCTTTCTTCGATGATTGGGAGATGATGCACGGTGAAGGTCATGTCGACAGAGCTAGTAACTGAAGGTGTTGCATTTACGGATGAAGCTACTGATCTGAGATCCTCATCTCAGCATCAGTGACAATAGTGTTTTCATGCCAGTGGTATGGTCTTTGCATTTCTTGGATTTGCGATCTGGTATACCAGTCCGAATGTAGTAGTCAAGTTTCAACTTCTAGTATTGTCATGGTGGTTAGGTTTCAGACTATGAAACATTATAGAGATAGTCGGAAGGGTTGAAATTTTGGTTGAAATGAACATGTAATGTGGTGAGGTTGGTTTAGCAGAGTGTATTCGTAGAGTGGTGGGTGCAGTGATCGCTTAGGCAGTATATTTGAAGGGTCTGTCTGGTAAGACCTCTTCTTAGTTGGGAATCTGACTGGACTTCTATTTAGGAGTAATTGGACGTGAAGCACATCGCATCCGTATATGAAGGTTGTGTGGAACGAGTAGCGGTTCTTCCTGTCGGGTCATGAAGTCGCAGGGTTTTTTTTCTTGGACAGTATCGTTTGGCGTGTGTGTGCAGCAGCGATATGTCAACACCAGACTTGGAAGCATTAAGAATTGAAGGGAGCTTGCACTGAGAGTTACAAACAGAGCAAAGTGGTCTACAAATTGTGGTGTTGGATACCACTTCATCATCAGAGAGTATAACTGAACATAGGCATAACATAGTCGAAGTCTCCCACAACGTAGGAAATATTCAACACAATCCCACTTTGTTGGATCCGGATCTAGATCTATCCATAAAAGTGGTCGAGCTCGGCTTGGTTTGAGAAAAATATTCAAATTACTAATTGTGATGGATACACTACAAAAAAAAAAAAAATTGTTATTATTTTATGATGTTTTGTTACAATCGTAGGGTTTCTCACCCCCCATAAGTATTCAAGGATGGTTTAGACTAAAACCTTACAAGCCATGTGTAACCATTCGCCTCTTTTGGCCAATACCTTCAACAACAACTTCATTATTTTTTTGGAATGCTCCAAAAGTTACATTCTTAACCGGAAGAAGTCTTGTTGATAAATTCCAAGCGTCTGGATACAAATATCAAATAATTGACGTTTGTTACACTGAACTCTAGCCACCAATCTTTCTTCCCATCACACGGTAACTTCACTTTCACAATGTCCGAGCCGAGATATATAGCAGCCGAGCGACCTGCCTCGGCCTAAACTGCAAACAAAGCGAACCATCATTAATGAAATTCCGCGCAGCCTGAGACAAAAATATCCTAGCATCCATCTCGATCTTAACCGATCTCCTAACCCAATCCAGAGCAGGTTCATAAGGGTGTTCGATTTCGAGATCAAACCGTAACGTAGACATCACAAACTTCTCACCGGTTAGCACGGTCCCTTTCATTCTCTTGCACACTTATGGCGATGGTTCCTTGTCATGTAAAAATCTGTAAGCCTGAAAAAACAAATTGTAAGCCTTGGCGATGATGTCACCCAATGGTTATTCATTTTTTTCCACGAAACTTTGAATTTATTAATGATCAAAGTAGTCATTTGTTATGGCTGTACAAATTACATCAGGGATAAGACAATAATATTGGTAATAAACATGATCCAGTAGTGCTTGTTTGGCAAGTAAGTCTGCACATGTGTTTGATTCTTGATTTGTCCAGACATGCTTGATAACTTGAAATTTGCTTTCCCGTCTCCATATATCCTTTAGCCAGTTTAAGACATCAACATTAGTAGTTTTTTTGGTTACCAGGTTTATCACATTGAGGTTATCTTCCTCAAATATAATTTCTCTGTAACCCTTACTCCAACATTTCATCATGGCATCTAGTAGAGCTTGAAGTCACTCTCCAAATCATTATGCGGCTTGGTCGTTTGTAACTGGGCTGTTCCTATGAACATTCATGTGTGATCTTGCAGTATCCATTCCCCTTTAGCAGGTGTATGTATGTTCTGAAAAGATCCATCATAATTACACTTGATAAAACCCTCTTGTGGACGTTCCCATTTGTTTGGTTGTCTGCAGTTTCTAGTTCATCTGTTTTCTTTTTCATGCAGAGCTGTATATTGTTGTGCATCTAGCCATTCCTTTGCATCAAAGTGAGCTGCATGAAGTGTTGATTTCCAGTATGTAAGCTTTTGTTGATAGATCATTTTGTTTTGACTTTTCCAAATTCGCCAAAGAATCCACCATGGTAATTGCTGCATATGATCAGGCATCATGGAAGTTTGTTGTAGGATAATATTGAGTCTGTCTTCTAGAGGCATATGTGATTGATAAACCAATCTGTTATGGAATCCGGAAACTCTCCAATTTCTTTGCGCATAGATACATTCAAAGAAAAGATGCTCTGCTGAGTCTTCCTGATAACAGTGAGGACATCTGGCTGTGATTGTTACATGTTGTCGTTGTATATTTTTTCCCAGAGGTAAGGATAATGTAACCATCTTCCAAAAAATGTTTGATTTTCAGAGTTGTAGGTAGTCTCCATATATGTTGCTTTAATGGAGTACTTCCTGGGGGTGGAGTGATTGGCATATTATTTGGATCAAGAGTCGCTGGCCTTTACTCTGATTTTACTGTGTATTCACCTGACTTGTTATAGTGCCAAACAAGTTGATCACCACCATCATACGGACATAGTTTTATTGCTAGAATTTCCTCTGCATCTATTGGGTTCACTGTACGTCTAATAAGGTCTTCATTCCAGCCTGACTAGTCCTGCATCATGAAGTCTGATACCTTAATTGTAGTGTTCTGGTCCATAGTTGGTAGAGGTGGCCGTGGAGGTATTGAAGGAATCTATGGGTCTTTCCAAAACTCAGCTGTCTTGCCATTTCCTATGATATAACGCAGACCCTTTGCCATTAGGTCTCTTCCATGGATAAAGGATCGCCAGATATAAGAGCTTTTCCTTTGAACTCTTGCTGTGAGTATAGAAGAGTCTGCAAAGTATCTCCCTTTCATGACACGTGCCATTAATCTCTGTGGTTTTTTTATTATTCACCAAACTCGTTTCCCCAGGAGAGTATCATTGAATTTTTCTATATCTCGAAAACTAGTGAATCCCTTTAGATCCATCATCTTTTCCCCACCAAAAATTTTGCTAGTGTGTTGTTGATATCATCACATACACTCTTTGGGAGCTTGAAAACATTCATAGGATATCCAAAATTAGCAGTAGCAATAGATTTGATGAGAACTTCTTTACCTCCTGATGATATGAATCGGTTTTGCTATCCTTGTGTTTTAGCCTTGACTTTTTCTGAGACAAATTGTAATATTTCAGATTTCGTCCTTCCAAATACTCTGGAATACCGAGGTATTTTTCTCCTCCACCTTCATTATAAATGCCAAGAAGATGTGTCATCTGCATTTTGACCAGATCTTTAACTCGACTTCCGAAAGTTATTGAAGTTTTGTTGAGGTTCACAGCTTGGTCAGAACTCTTCTCATATAGCTGTAAAGTCTTTTTAATAGCTCTTCCATTTCTTTGGATTTACCGAAGTGAAAAATGGGAATCATCAGAAAATATGAGAAGGTTACTTTTGGAATCTGAGTACCAATTTTGATGCCCTGTATTTTCCATTCTGCATCAGCTTTATTCATCATATGTGAAAGAACTGCATCACACAAGATGAAAAGATAGGGAGATAAGGGATCTCCTTGTCTAATGCCTCTTTCTAGTTTAACATAGCCTCGTGGAGTCCCATTAATCAAAATTGAGAAACTGACTGATGAAATGCATATCATGATCCAGCTTATCCATTTTTCACAGAAACCCATGTGCCTCATTGTTTCTTCCTAAAATCTCCATTCAAGTCGATCATAAACCTTTTTGATATATGTTTTCAAAGTCATATAGGATTTAGATTGTATCTTTCTGACATTGAGAGAGTGGAATACCTCATGAGAAATAATTATGTTATCTGAGATCATTCGTTCTGGAACAAATGTTGTTTGATTCTCAGCAATAATGTTGGTCAGATGTCTCTTAAGCCACATCACTAGAATTTTGGAGATAATTTTGTAACTAACGTTGCATAACGCAATGGGATAAAGGTCTGCCATTGTGGTGGGAGGTCTTACCTTTGGGATTAGACATATATTGGTGTGGTTGAGTGATCCTTTGAGGAAACCACCCTCAAAAAAGTGATTCACTTCATTGACTATACTGTCATTGATATCATCCTAGAAGGTATGGTAGAAAGCAGCAGAGAAACCATCAGGTCCAGGGGTTTGATGAGCACCAATGGCAAATATTGCAGTCTCTATCTCCTCAGTTGTATCAGGTTTTGTTATATCCTCATTTATCTCTGCTGTTACACGTGTCTCGAATCCTTCAAAAGTATCTCCAAACTTCATCCAAACTTCTTGTAGAGAACTGAATTGAAATTTGAAATATTATTATGCAACCTTAGCAATCTGAACATCCCCTTGTTTTCGGTTTCCATCAGAATCTTGGATAGTATAGAGTCTGTTTCTGTGTCTTCTTGTTTTTGCAGATGAGTGAAAAAATTTTGTATTGAGATCTCTTTCTCGAAGCAAAGGATTTCTGCTCTTTCGTTTCCAGGACCACTCTTCATCTATATAAGCATGTTGTAATTCTGTGTGTAGCCTTTTTCTCTCTATAGTTGAGTGACCATTAGTGCAAGCTTCATCCAGTTGTTGTATTAGTCTAATAGTTTTCTCTTTAGCATTACATTGATGGTCTCTCTTCCATTGGGAAATATAAGTTATGCTATGTCTTAATCTCTGCAGTAAGGAGCTCTGTCTTGATCCTCTTGGTCTATTTCATTGAGTAGCAACAGCAGTTTTAAAACCATCTTGTGATTTAAGACGATCATCATACATGAAATGACCACATCTTTCTTCTGGTTTCCATTTAGAGAAAGTAACTAAAGGCCGGTGATCTGATTCTCAAAGTTCTAAAAACAGAGTTTCTGCAGAAGTAAATTAATCATGACATTATGTATTTCCTATTGTTCGATCAAGACAACTTGTAATGTAATGGTTTCCTCTCTAACCAGCCCATGAGAATCTATTTCCAATTGTCTTTACATCAGTGAAGTTACACGTCCTTATCATTTGTTTGAAGTCATGGAAGGTGTGGTCAGCTTTGATATTTCCTCCAGTCTTTTCTCCATTGTGAAGTATTTCCTTAAAATCACCCATGATGAGCCATTTATCATTTCTGATTGTTGTCATACATTCCAATCCTTCCCATATGAGAGTTCTACGTTGACGATTAGGGAAACCATAAACAAAAGACAAGTAGAAGCTGATTCCATTGATAACAACTTTACAATCTAGGAGATTTGGAGACTGATACATGACTGTTAAATCTACTTCTGATTTCCAAAAGAGAGCTAAACCACCGCTTAAACCATTAGTTGGAACTGTTACATAATTAAGGTACCCAAGATTACATCCCAAGCCCCGAATGTAATCATCTTTCTGCTTTGTTTCTGATAGGAAGATTATGTCCAAGAGATACTTTCTTTGTATCTCTTTTAGGCGTCGAACTGTCAAGTCTTTATATATCCGTCGACAGTTTCAACAGGCTGATCTCATGGTGGAAGAGGTGGTTGTGGGCCCACCGCGCCTCTCACCATGCTTGTCAGATCATCACAAATTGTATCACTTAGTTTCTCCCTGCTCATCTTGTAACCGAATCTATTTTTGTCTCTTTGCTTGTCATGTATCACTTTGATCTACTCTTTCCATTCGGGTAAGCTTCAACTTGTTACCTTCTGCCTCGGTCACCATGCCTTACGTTTAAGGATCTCACTTCCATCCCTGTGTGGAACAAAAGGCCGAGAAGCATAAATCTCTTCCATGTTCAGATCATCAGAATACATTGTTCTCATTGCTTCTCCATTCCAAAGCTCATCATCATCTGCCTCTTCTTCCATGATCCGTGTGGTATCTTCCTTCTCTTCTTCAAGATGTACCTTCTGTTCCTCAGGAAGCAATCAACAGGCTCCTTCGGGAGAGGATCATTTGCTTCAACGGTGTCTCCCTCATCATTTATTTTTTCAATGTGGACACCTGGGTTGTTGTGAGGTTGGTGTTCTTGTTCTTGATCATCGTCATTTTCATCTCCTTCATCAGGTCTCTCCTCTTGGCCACCATTCTAGATCAGACATCTGCCTGAGCCTTGCGTGATCAAGCCACAAGTTTCGCAAAAACCACGCAGCCTTTCATAGTACAGCATGAGCAAAACATTTTTTTCCTGGAGCGAACAGAAAATTGCGCTGAAATCTGAGAGGATGAGTGATGTTCCAGTTAATACGGATCCGTACGAACTCCATTCTTCCACCCGCTTCTTCGTTGTAGTCCATTTGTATATATTGTCCCATGGCTCGAGCAATATGTATGATCACCTCACGGTTCATGTACTGGAAAGGTATCCCTCTTACTTGGATCCATAATGGTATGAAATTCAGTAAATTCATATCCATAAGAGGGGTCCATTTCTGGAGGACCAACATACGGTCAGCATACGCCCATGGACATCTATGAAGCACTGTCTCCATTGCTTCTTCAGACGAGAAGACAAACTGGAAACGTCTTCCTTCCGTGGCACGACCACGAACCAAACCCTCTAATCCCCAGGTTCTTGGCATCAACGAGATGATGGATCTGACATTCTGACGACGAGGAATTGTAACACGTCCCACAATGAGAAAACGGTTTTCTTCAGCAGCTTGTCGTACAACATCGAAAGGTAAGGCAATTGGTGTCTCTTCACTTCCTAGTGAAATGTCTTACATAACACGTCTTAAATTATCTGTCATTCTGAGAAATTTTGTGTAGTATCTGAGAGGAAAATACAATACTTTTGATAGGAAATCAGTATAAAGAAATGAGACCAGTAATCTCGAATTTCTTATATAGAAGTTTTGTTCTTCGTAAACTGCTAAAGCTTCATGGTGAGAAATAAACTCCACATGGACAAATAGGGGAACATGGGATTAAAATGTGTGTTGAATCCCATCTTGCCATCATAATCATCATCTTCAACCCAAATCGTGGGGAGTAAAACCACGAAAAGTCGCTTTTTCCAAATCGCCATTGTAATGTTTTTTAGCATTACAAACAACATTTAATGGTATGATTACTTCTTATTCACTCTTTTATGTTACTCTTTAAAAAACTCTTTGGGTATTGATGTTGTATTGTCAATAAAAAATTACCAATGGTTATTCATTTTGATGAGTATTTTCCAAAAAAATTATTATGATATAATTTATTTTTTTATTTTTCTAGTTTTCTATAATATTTTTTTTGAGAAATGTTTTTTATAGTATATAAATACCAGAATTTTTCTCTTATATATTGTTAAAAGCTTATTATATAGTGAAATATCAATATTTTGATAAATAAAACGTGGAACATAATGTTCAAAATTACATGAATACTAGCTAGGTGATAACTTCGTTCAGCGCGGAGTGAAACATATTTTTGAATTATTACCATATTTTACGTATATTAAATTACATTAGCATGAAATAAAAAATGTTTTTCTTTAATTATGTAGTTATTGCATGAAAATTTATATAATATTAAATACTTAAATTTAATATTTTGTGGGGGAAAAGGGAATTTTCACACTAATAAATTTTATTAAAATTAGTGTCGGTTTTACAGAATTTTATTAAATATATACGATTTTAAAAATTTTGCACATTGTGTGGAATGAAGATTGTATATAAAAATTATTTAAATATTATTATTTATGTTTTGGAAAATCTAACTTATAGTATAGTATGTGGTCACATACCATTTTCTTTGTAATTATATATATACACAAAATATACTCAAGAATATTATTTTATAGTTATATGATATACTTAAAATATTATATTGGCTTATATCATATACTCAAGAAAAATTATATTTTTTGAAGTTCAGGATGATTATCACAATAAGTGCAAATATTAATTGTAAAATATTTGGCCTATTTTGTTAATATTGATTTGTTTTTAAATTTTCCCCGTAATTGTTCTGATAATCAATGACAATTTTGAATAATTCAAATTTACTCAAAATTAACTACTTAACTGAAGTTGATTTGTGTATGTATTTAATACTCCTTTACTACAATCCTGTACTGCATCACTTATCCTTTTGAATTTTAAAATCGTCAATATCCAACTGGAATAACCTGAGACTAACATTTTGTATTTTCTGATGATGTGTGGCTATACGTATGAATCTTTGAATAGTACAGATGTAACATGTTAAGACTTCAACCAAAAATTTATATGAACATCTATATGAAATTGAAGAACCTAAAATGTCTTGTGGCTATTTATGTGATAGATTAAGGTCTATGAATGAATGGTGTAGTTCATTTGTATATTGGCATGAACATCTATATGAAATTTTGTATATCCAGACCAGAGTGAGGCTAAATTTTTCAGCAAACTTAGCTCCTCTATTATGCAAAGCAATTGATAAATTCGGTTAATAAAATGTGGAGACATCGTTCACATGTCTTTTTTGTGAGTGATGTTTAAAATGTATTATTACGTATTATATATAATTATTAATTCAAATAATTTATAGGTACAGTTTGTCATAGTTCACATACACTTATGTATTTCAATATTTAAATGACAATTTAACGGTTTGATTCTACAAACAGATTATTAATAACACGGTGTAACATTACATCATAAGAAACATAGGTCCAATGACATTGAATTGTAAATACTCTTAATAAATTATGTCTATTTTTATAAATGGACTGAGAGGACTTGTGAAGCTGTCACATAAGTAATGACAATTTTGTTAATCATATATGAGGGTAAGGTTATTTATTAAAAATGCTCCTCAAATAATATATAAGGGATGATCGTCCATCATTTATCATTCTGATAATTTTTTTTAAATCCCATTTTTTTGGAATGCAATATTATTTTCCATTTATTAGTTTATTGCATAGTTTGACTATTAGTGCAAGTTTAGAAAATCAAAGAGAACATATGATCAAATACTTTTTGAGTGTTAGGATAAAAAATAATTAGTCTAACTGAATGAATAATCACTTAGGGAGCACTTATTAAATTAATAAAGTATAAAAAATTGATTATTATGATGGTAAGGCGAACGTAAGAGAGTTGAAATGCATGCTATGAGATAAATATGAAAGGAAAAATCATTAAAAAAGATTGAGAGTATGTGTAGTGTTTTCCTCTGGTCGGGTTCTCCTACTCAGACGCACAAAGCTAAGGTTAGTTGGGAAGATTTACGTGTGCCAAAATAAGAAGATGGGCTTGGAGTGAGAAAGCTACGGGAATCAAATAGAGTTTTTGCTTTGAAACTCATTTGGTGTTTGTTCACTCTGCCTTCCTCCTTATGGGTGAGTTGGGGGAAACATTATTTGCTCTAATACAACTCATTTTGGGATGTTTGTGACGATACCAAAGGATCCTGATCTGGAGGAAGTTGCTCAAATTAAGGGTGTGGCTTATGAGTTTTTCAGGATTGATGTAAAGGACGGTACAACTTGCCACTTCTGGTTTTATGATTGGTTGGTGCAGGGGAGGGTAATTGACATCACGGGTCCTACTGGCCCCACTTATTTGGGTTATTAGGCGACACACAAAGGTGTGTGATGCTGTGCCATTGGAGGATTGGAGCATCAAAGGGAGGAGAAGTCGTTGGTACCAGGATCTCCAAAAGAGTATCTTGGACAGGGAGCCACCAAGGCCTGAAAAGGGGGTGGATATAGTTCAGTGGAGGCATGTAAGTGCAGATTTCCGGGACCACTTTTCCACCTCTAGTACGTGGGAGAAAATAAGATCAAGGCAGACTGTAGTAGAATGGAGTCGAGTAGTCTGGTTCACACAAGGGATTCCACGGTTTTCCTTTATTACTTGGTTGGCTATGAAGAACAGATTATATACAGGGGATAGCATGAGACAATGGGGAATGATACAAATCTGTGAGTTGTGTGGAGAAAGAGATGAGACGCGGGACCATCTTTTCTTTGCATGTCCTTACTCCTATAGTGTGGGAGTGTTTAGCGAGGAGAATCATGGGAAACATCATAAACCCGGACTAGCACTAGACAGTGCAACACTTGCAGAGAATGAGGCCATTGGAAATGAACACTGTCTTGGCTAAGCTTTTGCTGCAGGCAACAATTTATCATCTGTGGAGGGAGCGAAATGCAAGGCGCCATCAGCAGGGTGGACAAGGCGATGAGAAACAGAATTACTTCTTTCAAGTACAAGCATGATCATAAGTATGGAGGTTTACTGCAAAGATGATTTCAGCTTAGTTCCTAAGGGATAGATAATTTGATGACTAATTGCTTTTGTTTTTAGTATAGTCCATGTTAACGTGAAGAAGTAAATAGAATGCATTGAAGTTTAACAAAATTTGCTAAGGTTTGCCAACATGAATAGTACCCGCGGAGCTACAGTAAAATCAAATATTTATATATTTAATTGTGGCTTTCTTATGAAACCAAGTGTGTTTGGCTTCTTGAGTAAGACAAACCTGCTTTATGTTCTTCTTCTTTATAATGTATTGTAATGACTTTTGTTTCGGATCAAAGGAAATTATTCTTTCTCCTTCTCTCTCTCTTATTCTTCATGTTCTTCATTCTCGATAAACTAAATTATTACTACTTCTCTTACTCTCATAATTCTAACAGTCCACAATGTAAATAACGTTCTTTTGATAGATCAATAAATTTGAAATTTCATCAAAAAAAAATCATTAAAAAGATAAAAATTAAAATGATAAATGAAAAAACAATGTTGTCCAAAAGCTAAGAAAATACAGATTTTGGTTTTTGTGTAGAACTAGGTAGTTATTTGAAAAAAACTAGTTTTAGGAGAATCATTTTTAACAAAAATTTTAACAATAACCAAAAACCATTTTAAAAACTATGAAC